AAATTGAATATGGCTGAATTCAAAGGTAATAAACTAAGTTACTTGGTAACTTATTAAGTAACCAAGTAACTTGGTAAGTGATTTCAAACCAGGAGAACATCTAGGCTATGGCATGGTTACTACTCACTGCTCTAAGCACTATAGCAAAAGAGTGAGAAGATATAAAAATGCATAGCTTGGAAAGGGGAGGAGAGGAAAAAAGAGGGGAGAGAAAAAAGCAGAAGGCATTAAAGAGACTGGTGCCATCATGAGCCCCAGATGGTAGGGCTATACTACTCTTGCAGAGGACTCAAGTTGAATCCCAGTGTCCTAGTTATGTGGCTCACACTGACTATAACTGCAGCTCCAGGGAGTTCCAGCATCTCTGGACACTAGGAGCCCATGCACCTAAAATTAAAACAAATAAAACTAAAAATGAGCTTCTGAGTTGAAAGCTTGGATATAATGTGAAGTCTTCAAAGTATGCTAGTAAACTAGGGCACTTCAGAAATCAAACTGTAAATGTATCTGTTGGTAGAAGCCAAGTGACAGAAGATGGAAAACAAAAACAAAAGAGGTCTGTACGATCAAAAGTGTGTGGATCTAGTCACAAAGTATATATATATACACATTATATAGATATATAGATATATATATCTCCTAAAAGGGGATTTTTTATAAAGGCAGGAGATCAGGAGATAGGAACACTGTAGAAATCTGAGTCAAAATGCACAATGCGGAGCCAGTGAAATGGTTCAGTGGGTGAAGGTGCTTGCCACCAAGCATGATGATCTAAGTTCAATCCCCAGGACCCCCATAGAAAGCAAATAGACTCCTACAGGTTATCCTCTGACTTACCCACACACTGTGGCAAATAGACTCCAGTACACATACACAAACTAAATAAATAAAGTAAAAGGAAAACCTGGAAGGGGCCAGGTTTGGTCGCATATGCCTTCAATTCCAGCAGAGGCAGGTGGATCTCTGTGAGTAGCAGGCCAGCCAGGACTACACAGTGAGACCTTGTCTAAAAACATTTTTAGCACACAATGGAATTGAACACAGAAGACTGACAATCAGCCTCTAAAGTCATGTTTCCTACCCTCCTGCCTGCAACCAATCAGCTGCCCTCTTCTTTGGCCTCTGAATAGATTTAAGTCTCCCAAAATGACAGAAAGGTACTGGGTTCTAGGGGAAGTTTCTAGACTCTGGACAAAGAAAAGGCAATAATTCAGTGGCCCTGGGGGCCAAAGTGTTTTCATTATCAAAAAAGAAAGAAAGAAAGAAAGAAAGAAAGAAAGAGAGAGAGAGAGAGAGAGAGAGAGAGAGAAAGTTCAGATGTCTACTGCTTCCAGAGGAGTCATGGCCTTTACCCATCCAAACCTCAAGTCTTTCCAAAGATCAGAACCCAGGGTGGAGGGAGCTGGTCCATCCCCATGGCCTGAGTGTCCCTCTGCCTGACTGCACTTTGTGTCTACTGACCGCGTCACACAGGGTTTCTTGTGCCCATTTCACCTGTGTTTCATAAACACTGGAGGAATAAGGTCATGGTGTTGGTGGTGTTGGGTGGTGTGCACTGAGTCAAGTAACTTAACCAGTGTGCTCTGCAGGAAACAAGCTTCCCACACCTGCTCTCTCCAACACTCCACCTGGACAACAAGCCCTGATCCTCCCTGGCCTCTTCCTTCAAGTCCCCAGGTCACTCAGGTAAGCACAGATGAAAGTCAGCTGATCAGCTCACCCCTATGAGGTCTCCCTGCCACACCCCCTCACTGACACAAAGCCAGCACTCATATTGTCACCTGACACTAGAATGTCTGGGTTCACTGCAGCACCCTCATCCCTTCCCTGAGGAGAGAAGAATCAGTATACTATCCTGATTCCAAGCATCTCTTACCATGGCCTGATGCTATACAGGGAGAGTCCAGGAGAGGCTACCTCCCTCACCTGCCTGACTCTTCTTCCTCCAAAGTAGCTCATTCCATAGGAAACCCTGAGTTAGCACCTGACCCTTTCCTTCCCCTCAGACCACACTATACTACAGTGAGAAAAGCCACACCACAGTGTCAAACACAATGGATGTCAATTGCACAGGTAACTGAAGTGCACGTATCCACTATACACAAATCACTGTGATATTGGCCCAGGCATGGCAGTAGACACCTTTAATCCCAGCCTTGGGAGGCAGAGGCAGATGGATCTCTGTGAGTTCACAGCCATCTGGTCTACATAACCAATTCCAGGCTAGCCAGGGGTACACAGTGAAACCCTGTATATCAAATAGAAATAAAAAGGACAGAAATAGTAAAATTCATGCTGGAAATGTTGATTTATAACACAGAACACAGGAAATAATGCATCAGTAACAAGGACCAACATCACATAGAAATGATTATAGAGAGAGCAACAATTTTCTCGTTACAATGAGATTCTAAAAGGTGCAAAAATATTTAAATGGATAGAATTTTAAGAAAAAAATGGTTTTTTGTCCAACATCCTAGTGAAATTCCAGAAGCTGACACTGCTCTCTGAGCTTGATTCTGACACGCAAGGATAACAAGAAGACAGACGGCTCAATAAATCAGTCTAGGAGCAAGGCCAAAAAGAAGTCCAAAGGCAAAGTTGAGGGCAGGCTCAGCCACTTGGCCCTGTATGAAAGTCCACAGCTCTGATTTTACCGGACCAGCTTCAGTCTCTGGAAGACTAAAGATTTGGGGTTCCCTGGCCTGGACAGTTACCTAGAAAAGCACTTATAAAGCTGATTTCAAAGCACGGAGCCAGAGTAATTTACACCAGGGTCACAAGGGAGAGAAGCCCCAGCAGCTAGTGAAGATGTGAAAAGTTCAAGTGAGTGTACATTTGTAAATAAATAAATAATGATTAAGACTTTATTGAATAAAAAAAAGGGGGAAACAAGCCTGCTCATTTTTGTCATGTCAAAGAGAGAGTAAATCACATCACTGTGACTTAGAAGCTGCAGCTGGACACCCACAGAGAAAGGACCAATCCCCAAGAAGTGGGAAGCCAGCGAATGGCTGGAATATGCTAAAAGCATGCTATAGGAAAGGCATTACAGAGGAAGAAGTCGTAAGATTTTGGGGTTCCTAGAACAATCCTTCACAGGAGAATGAGGGGAGCCCAGGTGCGGGCTAGTGAAATGAACTGGGTGGGAAGAGTTCTTATGGAGCCAGTAAAGCCAGAGCTCCTCAGCCCACAGCCTGTTCATACCCATCCCTCCTGCACCCACCAGCTCCCTGAGGTTCACACCTGCAGCCCTCGCCTGGCTCCCTTTCACACTGGCTTTCCTTCCCTCTGTCTAGTCACCAGCGCAGAGACCCCAAAGTCACTATCCCTTCCCTTCTCCATGCTTCTGTCCTCTTCCCTGAGACTATCTTGAGACTCTCTAATCATCGCTCCTCCTGCAGAGGAGACAGCGACTAGACAGTACCAGACCTAGGGCACTACACCAGGTACCCAATGTGAAGCCTTCCTTGGCCATCCTCATGAGTCACCTCCATCTGTGGGTAAGCACATGGAGAGCACTGTTTTTATTTCTCATTCCATTCTCCCACAGATGAAGCAAAAGGGCTGTGTGCTTGCCAGGAGCCTTAATAGGCACTGGGGTGTCAATCTTGAGCAAAACAGACTGCTACCCCTACTCTGTGGCATTCACAACTTAGACAGGGGCAGAGACAGTAACAGGTGACAGTTGTCCAAGACCCATTCAGCACGAATGCTTGAAGAGGGCAAAAAATGTCTGACATGGGGACTCTAAGGATGGGTAAGTAGCTAACTGGTAGTACAGAGAACCTTCTAGAGGCCAGGGAGAACTCGGAGGTGAGGCTGAAGTAGGAATAGGAGAAGTCAGGGCTGACACAACTGAGTCAAAATTATACCAGCCCTTGCTACCCACCTGATCGACTGGCACCTCCACCTTCACCTCTGGGTCCTCCTTGACTTCCAGTGCTTCTTGGGCCTCCTTAGCAGGCGTCTGGGCTTTATAGACATCACCTTCTGAGGGAAAATAACAGACAATCCTTTCAAACCAGTAGAGAAACTGATCCCCAATTTATATTTTCTGACCCTAATCAATGTTTTAATTCAGCAGCTCCTGAGCTTCTTATACAATCAAACAGAAGCCCAAATGGGGTAAGTCCCCAACTCCACATGCCCCCCCACTGCCTATCTGTTCACTCCTCTCTCTGTCCCTCTCTGTCTTTGCTTCTGTAGAGGCCTCAGCTCAGTGGGCCTCAATTTTTGCAGTGCCTGTCTAGTCTCTATACTTCTACAAAGGTCCTAGACCCTTGAAACCTTGAACATCTCTGTCCAGGAGCTTCCCAAATCACCCAATCTCTCACCTGCTCCCTGTCTATAGAGTAATGTGGGAGGAATGTCTCCCTGCCTGCTTCCTGTCTGCAGAACAGTGTGGGAGGGACATCTCTTACCTGTTTCCTGTCTGTAGAGCAGTGTGGGGGAGTCTTCTCCTACCTGCTTTTGTCGGTAGAGCTGTGTAGGAGGGACATCTGCTTCCTGTCTGTGTGTATAACCAGACACTAAGAAGCCCCTCCCCCCCACCCACTGTCTGTCAGACTGGAAATGGAGACATAGCTCAGGAAGGGCCTCATTAGACCTAAGCACCCAAAAGGGTTCAGCCGAGAGGACCGTACAACAATAAGAATGAGAGTAGGCATGGTGAGAGCTATCGTAATTATTTCATTTTACAGTGAGGTCTGGATCCCTCTTCTAAAGGTACACAGGAACAAGCTAAATGGCTTCTATGTTCAAGAATCCCTCAAAAGATGGGCTCAGTTGACACAGCAAGAGTACCTATGGTCCTCTTGTAGATGTACATGTGGAATTTACTTTATATATGACATTTTTAAGGCTTTCTACTTAAACTCCCATTACCCTCAGCTTTGTAATGTTACTGATCTTATCAGCAGCCTACTGCTTCTCCTCAAGCTGAGATTATAAGGCTTGATAATCAAATAGTTCTAAGAAAAGAGGTTACAGAATAAGCTTTTTCTGAAGTGCATACCATACATATATACTCTATGCATACACATATACCACATACACCATACATATATACACTATAAAACACTATATATATGTATATATATATAGTGTGTGTGTATATATATACACACACATACATACATAGTGTATCCCATACATATACACACTACATACACACATAGACCTCACACATCAAACATATACACATACATACACCATGCACACCATACATACACAAATACACACATGTATACTATACACATCATACATATATACACAATACACAAATGTACACCACACACGCCTTACATGTACACACTATACATACACCATACATATACACAAATACACCTTATATGCCATATATATCCATATACAACCTACCCCATACACATACACACATATACACTACACACAACAAACATATACACACACAACCATGCACACTATACACACACATATATCACACATGTGAAGCATATACACACAATACACACATGTACACTATACACAACATACACACCACATATGCACACATACAGAGAAAGCACTTTTTGTAGCCTATAGGAGATGAAACATCCCATTACCTGCACCACTTTGAATTAAAGGTTCTGTGTCCATCTGCTTTTTCTCTTTGGCATAATAAACAGAATCCTGACTTTTAGGTGGTACGCTGTCATTTTGAAGAGGTTCTTTTACTTTGGACTCCACCTAATATGCAGATTAAGAACAAAAGGTGTCAGGAGTGGAGACCACATTGAATCCTTCATCCTTGGGGTGGACGAGGACAAGAAACTCAGGAACCCAAGAAGCCTCTCTGGGTTCACTCTCCATTCTCCTCCATTCTCCTTCTGAAGGAAGCAAAGGAATAGTCCTGCCTCCTTCCAGATCTACTGCTGAAGGTCATTTGGCTTCCAAGTCTATGATGGGCTTGGGTATTGCACCAGAGGTGACACAAAAGGGACTCCTCCAGTCTTTTGAGGTCATATTTTGAAGCCTACCAAAAGCTACTGCTCAGAAGCACTCTAAATCTGCCCCAGTAGACACTGTATACACAAAACAAGGCTCAAAAATCAACCATACCACAGCACAGTACAAGAAACCTGATTTTTTTTTTTTACAATTTGTATACTATCTGTAGACAATAGCAATAAAGTACATGGTCATCACAAAACCAAAAGTTCTTAGTACCCCACCAGTCTTTGTGCTGCAAATACTTTCTTCTCCTTTTTTTTCTTTGTCTTTTTTCTTCCCTCCCCCCCTCCACCGCCCCGACTTAATTCAAGTATTTGGAAGCAAATTCAGCCAACTATATAAATGTTCACCTGACACAAGAGACCAAGTTAAATGCCCCCTGGTGGCTTTAAAGGGTATTGCAGTAAGCCAGAGTTGTGTACAGAAAGCAGGATCTCAGCAGATCTAATTTTATAGCAGCATTTCAATACACTGCAACGTACCCCATTTAACACTGACAGTATGTGTGTTCAAAGCTGTATACTGTTCTTTTGAAATGCTCACTGAGTGCCCAATAGCCTCTGCTTTATAGTGTAAATACATTTTAAAAGACAAATTTCTAATTTAAAAGATGATCTATGCCCAATCCCCAGTGTGCTGATCTGAGTGCCTGAGCTCTCAGAGCAGATTGCAGTGCCATCTCTGCATGCCTCCCTAGGATCCAAGCTCCAAAGAAAATGCCACTGAAGTGGGAATTTCTGATTTCTTTGGCCACTCAGTTGTGTCATGGGTTGTTTTTCTGGAAACTGTCTTATGAAAGGATGTTTTTGCTGAAGCAGACACATGAGAGGATGCTTTGAGAGAACAGACACATGGTGTTTTTCTGGGAGCTACCTGGAAAAAGGGGCATTCGATGTTTTGCTAGAACAGATACTTGAAAGAACATGTGATGTTTGGAAAAGGGTATAAATATAACCCAACAGACAGTGGATGATGCTATGTGGCATTGGTTCGCCTTGCCACACTTTGCTGTCTTCCTTGGGCTTTGCTGATGCTGATTTTCGCTGATGATACTGTGGCATTGGTTCACCTTGCCTTTTTGCTGATCATTTGTCATGACTTCATAGAAAGAAAAGCACCAAAGAACTTCTGGTGCTGTCCTAGCAGCTTCTTGCTGCTTCTGCAGATCCTGGCCAACTGGCAAAGCCTCATGGTTTCTTCTGGATAGAACTACTGCTACTGATTTCTAAATGGTGTTTATGAGTGGATAGAGCCACTGCTGCTGATTCATGTAAAGTGCTGCTATTGTAACAATGAAGATTGGAATCAGCCCAAAGAACTATTTCTGAACTGGTCTACATCCTCCTTTTCCCTATTAACCTTTGCTTTCCACTACCTCTGGTGGGTGGTAAGCTAGAAGGGAGGTTAAAGTGTTTAAAAATCCTTATTAAAGTAAGCTTTGAAAAATCTAAGCCAACATTCCATCATCCTCCTCCCTCTCACGTGGGTAGGTCTAGCTCTTCCCTGTTCCCTTAAAGTGATTTGCCACCCAAGGTTCTCAGAGTACCAGGAATCAACAGAATCAATAACAGTGGTCATTCTCCTTTCAGAACTTACTCTTTTCTTTGTTTGTGTGCTTTTATCATTGCCCCCAAACCTCCTGAAAGGCAAAAGACAGACAGTTAATACATTTAAGCTCAGCTCAGATGCCTCTTGTCTTTATAAACTACAGGAGCATCCTTGACTGAGAAAGGAGACCTGCTCTGTACCAAAGACCTAGCCAATGACAGCAGCCATCTCCTGGCTTGGGAGAAAAGGCAAGATCATCTTCAAAAATCAGATGGCCACAGGTTTACTAGAGTAGGATAATGTCTGGTCTAGAGTGGCATGATAACAGTTTCTGTTTAATGCTAGAGGAAGCCTGATATTTTAATGGTTTGGATGCTTTCCAAAGCATGGATTATACACATAGCCATCACTTGTTTGTGCAGCTTTCACCATTACCCAGTGAAGCAAGAGCTGGCTGGCTGCTCTGCAAGTAACCAAGACCAAAGAGATGCAAGTTCACCCCACACATCAGAGCTGATTAGTGGCAGAACTGAGATTCAAATCTGCCTATCCCCTAAACACCACCAGACATAAAACCATTTTGTATGCTTCTATACCCCCTCCCTACCTCACGGACACTGGAGGCCTGCACCAGCAGTTGGCACACACACACACACACACACACACACACACACACACCAATGGCCCTCTCCAACACTGTTCTCAGAGAATCACTGTCATGTCCTGTCTGTGTCCACAGTGTAGACTCTGGGCTCTCAGAGATTGTGCAGCCCATCACTCCATGACTAATTTTAGAAACGCAAGGTTCAAAATGTCTATCTATATACATGCAAATGTAAGCACATGTAGAGTGAGACTGTGAGTATAAATAGGTAGATAAATGATAAATAAATGATTGATAGATAATAGATAATACATGATAGATGATAGACAGACAGACAGACAAATAGATATCACACACATCAAGTTTCACTACTGAGAAGTAACCAGTAACTGAACTCAACATATTTTGGAAAGGACATAGAAAAAAGGTAAATGTCAACAACATTCAAAATGAAAAGGCATAGAGGCCAGGAAGATGGTTCAGTGGGTAAAGGCACTTGACACTGAGCCTGACAGCCTGAGTTAGATCCTCAGGACCCACAATGAAGAAGGAGAGAACCAACTCCCACAAGTTATCCTCTGATCTCCCCATGGATATGGATGGATGGTTGGATGGATGGATGGATGGATGGATGGATGGATGGATGGATGGATGGATGGATAGGCAGTTAGGTGGATGGATGGGCATACAGACAGACAGACAGACAGACAGATTTTTTTAAAATTCGAAAGAAAAGTACAAGTTATACTCACTGCTGGACCTCACTGGGGACCCATGAGGACTTCCAGTAAGGAATGGATTTGAAAGTCTCCAGTCCTGCAGCAACATAAAAATAATTGTCTTGCAACTTCTTTGAGTCATCCAAAAGATGCCCATCCATTGTAAACAACCTGTGAACACAGGAGAGAGAATGATATGGGGTTTTAGACATGGAAGTATAGGACGTAGGGATACTGCTTCACCTGCAATAACAACCAGCATGTCAAATGCTGAGAAACTACACTCCCCAGCAAGCCTGCAAAAAAAGGCAGGAAGCCTTGGCAACTGTTCTTCCTGGACTGAACACTTTCTGCTTAGAGCTTTTTAATTAAAGTGTATTTTTCATTATGCACAAGCCCTCGGAGGATTTCAAGAACATGATCAGCTCTTAGTTGGTATTCAATTAATTTTAACTAGTAGCAGCTAAAATTAATACAAATTGGCTAACATTGTTGTAACAATACTTTGGAAAGAAATCAGCATTTGTTAGCAAATAATGGGCCTTTTTATCATGACCAAATGACTGCATTCAGTACTCTTTGGGAACTCATCACTGTCTGGTTAATTTAAGAAAAGAATTCACTCAATTGTTGGTCTATTACACGTAAGCCAATAAGAAGGCACAACATAAATGGAAGTGACTGTTCCTCAAAGTCAAGGGTCAGAGCAACCTATGAAGATAAACACAAGGTGCTCAGTCTGCTGTCTCCTGAAAGCCTGAGTTCCGATGAAATGGTTCCCAGTCTATTGTGTTACTGTGAGGTGATGGGACCTTTAGGAGGTAGAGCTGGTATAAAGAAGCTGGGTTAATGGAGTCAGGCCCTTGTCAGAAAGGCCTCAGCCCTTTCTCTGCTGTTTCATGAGGCTAACAGCTTCCTCAGCTGTGTACTTCCACCATGATGTAGTGCCTCAGCACAGAGCAAAAGCAATGGGCAAGACGACTGTACAGTGAAATCAATGAACTGCAGCAAACCCTTTCCCACAGCAAGGTGATTATCTCTGGTGTTTTGTTACAGCGACAGAGAGCTGACATACCTCAGCTCTCTGTTTCAAGAGGAGGAAGATATAATTCAACGGTGGGTTTCACAAAGCAAAAGAATCAATTTGTCTTGAAGAGCGGTAGCAGGCTACTCGTCAAGTAGGAATGAGTGAAGCATTCTGGAGTAGCCAGAAAGACCTATGCAAAAGACCAAAACCCAAGGGTCTATCTATCACTAAGAGCAAAATGCCAACAAGACATACAAACATGTAACTGAAGGGCAGTTTACATAAAGAGCTTGCATTCCGGAAGGGGATTCCATCATTAACTTATACAAAGGACTGAAGACTTTCAAGGAATAGAGAATAGGCTGGCTGTTGTGGGTAAGCTAGGACAGAAAGAAATGGCCCACTCCATCTGCACAAGTCCAGAAGATTGAAAGGCAGGTGGCTGTGGGACCCTAGGAGCAGATGGAACCCACAGAACTAGCCTTCACTCCAGGCTGGGTTTGATCCCAGGGTGGCCCGCTGAAGCTCAGGCTGACTCATAAGTGATTCAAGGCCTGGGGATTTCATACTGGGCATTTCATTTCTATCAAGTGCAAGATGCTGTTGGCACTGTTCCTGGGGCCTCTCCAGAGAGCCGCTTCCCTTGGCTCAACTCTAGAAGAAACACAGGAGAGCATGGCATAGGAGAACACAGCGGAGAAACACAAGGGCAGAGCAGGTTCTGTGACACAGCAGAAGCTTTGGCGGGAAACTCAAGCCTAGGAGTCTGTTCTCATTCTGCCATGGCCTTGTGACAATGGGTGTTCATCCAGATATTGCTGGGACAAGTATATGGGGGTTAGACAGGGAAGAGAGAGACCTCTGCAGTGAGGACAGAGGGACCGCTTCTCCAGGTGTTTCTATAAGAGGGCATAATGAAACATCCTTGACCTAACAAGGCCCAGAAGAAGCAGCACAACCTGATACCACAGCAAGGAAATGTCTTGATTAAGACGTGGCAAGCCCAGGAAACCCAGAGCAAGCGCAGAAGGAAGGCCATAGGCCCCTGGCAGAGGTGGTATTGCAAAGGCTAAGGCCAGAGAAACAACTTTGTGGTAGTTATGTTTGCTGCTGAGACCCAAGAAGAGGGCTCGTCCAAAGCCATCTTCAGTCTTGTGGGGCAGACAGCAGAGTGTCAAAGAGGATGTCCTGCCTGAACCAGAAGTGTTGGAGTAGCCAAGCAATGTGGTGGGGAGAGATTGCCAATGGTAAATAAATGGGGGGAAAACAAACAGGAGAAATGCAGATTTGAAATAGAGTCATGAAAATGGAATTGTGAGGTTGATGATAGAATGGATACGGGGACAGACCTCTGTGTGGAAGACTCGGTAACTCTCTTCAAAGAAAATATGGGGATAAATATGATGTATAAGAAAAGCTAAAACTAGGGGTGAGAAGACTTGTTAATATCCAGATTAAAAGCATCTAAAAACTCAGTTAAAATAAGACAGGAAAGGAGGAAATGTATGATGATAAAAGACTACATTTCAGAATTAAAGAGGGAAGCTTGGGATTGAAGGAATCTAGACCTGCTCAGGAGGGAGCTGAGAAAGCTCGCCTCTGGACCCCTCAGCACGATGCAGAGTTTGGGCCCTGCACAGAATGAGTGCACATCACATAGAGCAGCTCAACCAGTAATAGAGTAAGAATTTTGCAAATGAAAAATAAATGAGCAAGGGAGGTTCTGTAACAAAATAACATACCTTATATCACAAAATACCAGCTCAGCATTAGGCACAGCAGTGGGAAGGATTCTCCAGATGTTACTGTTAATGAAGCTTACTAATTGGGGGGATATAGGCTCTGGGAAGATGGCTCAGTTGATAAAATGTTTGCAAACAGGAGGACCTGAGATCAGGCCTCAGAGCCTCAGGAGAAAGCCAGGCATGACTATGCGTAGTTGTAATTCCCACAGAGGAGCAGAGCTGGGAGGAGACGGGAGGGTCCCAGAGGTTCCCCTGGTGAAAGACCTTACCTAAGAAAACAAAGTAATGGCTCCCAAGAATAAAACCTGAGGGGGTCCTCTGGCTTACACCCGTATGCACATACACACACACACACACACACACACACACACACAAAGAGAGAGAGAGAGAGAGAGAGAGAGAGAGAGAGAGAGAGAGAGAGAGAGAGAGAACATGTACACATACAGAGAGAGAAAGAGAGCATGTACACACACACATACAGAGAAAGAGAGAGAGAGAGAGAGAGAGAGAGAATATGATAATATCTCTAAGACGCCTCCAATCTTTTGCTTTAACAATAAACAGCCAATTCAACTACTTTCCCAAAATAAATGTATAGTTCAACTCCCTAGGGACTCAGACTCTTGGTAATGAACCAGGACCCTCCTAGTTCATTCCTATGGCTCCCTACAGCCTACCATCCAAGTCCATCTCAAGTCCTTTGTGATTCCATGGAACCTTAGAATTTCTTTCTGTCAAGTACACACAGCTGCCACACTAGGCTGAGACTCAGGTAGAGGACCTTCATATTCCTTACTGTCCTCCAGCATCTCCAGGCTTACCCTTAGTCCTACTGTAGCCTGCCATTGGGAGCCACTATTCCAAGCCCACCTCCAGCCCCAAGTCCTTTCCCACCACCCCTCTCAGTCTTTCCTTCTAGTCCATCTTAATTTCTTTGTGACTCTCTTGCCCCCATGTACAGAACAGCTCTTTACCAGAACCCCACACCTACCACACTTGGCTGGGACCCAGGGACCTGTACAGTCACCATACTTGGCTAGGATCTAGATTGGGCAACACCAACCAAAAAAGGGAACATCCGCCCAACAAAGATAAGACTGGATAACTACACCAAGAAATCCCTCAAACATCATAATTCCAGATGCCTAGATCCCAGCCCCGGAACATAAACATGAACATGAGACAATATGGCTCCTACACTGGCAGGTGGGGTCCTTCCCCCGTGCACCAAAACTACCCAGGCTTTACCGACCACCACCACTGCTCCTCTGTTAGCACATACAGCACATTACATAGGAATGAAGCACTGAGCACTTATGCAAACTTTTACAAATAGCTAACATCACCACTTTCCAAGTGAGGAACAGGGTATCAAAAACTGGGTGCTCCTATAATCACAAAGTTCAGATGGTAGAAAAGAGATTTGACCCTAAAGCCCTGGCTAGAGGCTGTGGTGCTGGGCTGACTCCTTTGAACTCTTTTGCCTTGTATCAGCAGAACTTCTTCATTCGTCTTCTGTGTCTTGTCTTGAAGACTGAATCCTCACATGGTCCCCCAACTTCTGCAGGCCACCACTAACTACAGCACCTCCTCCAGCTGCTGCTCACCTAAGAAGAGGTTCTGGGATGCAAGGTTCCTTACTGTTTGTTGTTGTTGTTGTTGTTGTTGTTGTTGTTGTTTGCTCAATGAGGGGTGTATTGTGCTCAATGAGGGGTGCAAGTGTGAAGTCAGAGGAGAACTTTGTGGGTTCAGTTCAGTGGTTCCGGGGTCAAGCACAGATCATCAAGCACGTATGGCAAGCACACTGCCCACTGAGCCATCTTACCTGAGGCCCTTCCTCATAATGCCATGCCTTCTGCACAGCTCAATGTTGGTTGAATAGATTGACTAATAAAACCAGCTTAAAATAAAAGTAGAACACCCAGTTCTTCCCCCACCCGACCCCTAACCCCACATGAGAGCATCTTACTTTCGAACTCCTCCTAGAGGGAAGACTTTTTCTCCAATCATGGCCAGCACGCTATTCCAATCTGATAGGCTGAATTTGGGTATAATAATTTTGATAGGAGGGATAAATAATCTTCCATTTGTGAAAACACTGGAAGGGTAAAAAGAAAAAGCATCATTACCACCTTAAGATTGAGGGAGAATACTGTGTTCAAAAAAAAAAAAACAGATGTACTTAGAGGAATACAGAAACATTCTGATACACTGATTAACCCTTAACAATACAGTCCTACAAAACAGTCTTCAAGTCCATGAACACAACAATGGTTTTAGGAAAATACTGTTTCATTTTGCACTTCACTGCATTGTGACAGGGTCTCATATAGCCCAGGCTGGTCTCAAGCTCACTGTGCAGTCGAGAATGACCTTGCACTTCCAATGTCTCTACCTTCAAGCACTGATGTTACAGACATACGCCACCACTTCTAGCTTATGATTCGTGAGAGATGGAGTCCAGGGCTTCCTGCATGTGAGGCCACATGCTTAGCAACTGAGCTCTGTGCACAGCTTAGAAAGCATCTTTTTTATAGCTAACGGTGCCACAAGGAATGTGACATAATTATACTTCCCAAAAATATGTTTCCTATGGTGGGTAAATTAGAAAAAAAATCATATCCAGAGAGAAAATGAAAAAGAGAGATTGTACGTGCGAGATGCAGTCATGTGCCTTGTTATACAACTTAAACAGACAGACACTCGATAGAAATGCTGTACGATCCAAATGGATCTCTCAACCCGAAGCTCTACTCAGAGCCTTGAGCAGCTAGCAAGGGGTCAGGCAGACAGCTGCCCTGAGAGCTGACAGCAGACACGATGCTGACAGTCAGTTCTACCCACAATCAGGAGGAGCGGGGTCTTAACTGTCAGCTTTTCTTCCTGCCTTCTTCTGCTCACCAACAGACCAAATATCTGCCTGCTAATGACCTCACCTCCTTGGCCTAGAACATTCTCCTAATGAGGAGCAGGGAGTCCCTGGGAAACCACTCAGGATTTAGAAACTTTTTGTCAGCTCACTTCTAAGAAAGTTTTTACTTCTCCACATAACGTGAACTGAGAGCGAGGGCCCACCACAGAGCAGCAGAGGTGATGGATATCCTTACAGAGTGGTGATCTCAGAGACCAGAACAGGGTCCCCTGACTCTGAGCCTCAACCTCTGACTTCAACATAGATGACATTACACTTCGATGGTCACAACTATCTAGGCGGTGTCCCTGTGTCCCACCAAGGAGCTCCAGGCTTTCCCTCTACAGAACAAAAGCCACACTCCAAAGCCATGCCAGCCTTGACCACTCCATTGCAAGGAAAGGTTGGAGTCCTTCCTGTCCTGACACAGAATCCCTGACTTCCACATGCTGAGTTCTCCAGACCAACATGATCAGCGTTTTCTGTGGTGGAAGGACGCTGCTCTTAGATGGTTCTTTGGGTCCATCTAGTGGAACTTCCCAGTACTCCAATCAGGAGGTGAAATACATCTTCTGCAAGAGTCACTGATATACTGGGCCTTGATGCCAAGCTGTAGCTATAGAAATGTGTATCTTCATCAACCATGACTCACAGGCAAGTTATGTTTCCTAAAGGTATGACATGATCTACAAAGATGGTGTCTGAGAAACTTAGAAATACCAGGACTTCTATTGTATTAGAGAATCCCAGATACTTTTCAAGCATTTTTAAATTGCATTTAGCGTATATGCATGTGTGTGCAAGCACATATGTGTGGACATGTACCTTTGTGTACATGTGTCTACTTGTACATCCCAGCAAGTAAGAGAGATCAGAAAGCAGCGTGCTGGTGTCAATTCTCTCCTTCCGCCATGTGAGTCCAAAGGATTAAATGAGATTATCAGACTCAGCACCTTCGCTCACTGAAGTGATGCCCCAAAACCTTTTTTTTTATTTTGCATTTGTACATGTGTGTATGAATGTGTGAATATAAAACCAATGTGGAGATATAAAACCAACCTCTCAGAAGTCAATTCTTTCCTGGCACCTTTTAGTACTCAGGAGTTGAACACAGGTTGTCAGACCTGGGGCCAAGTGTCTCTATCCACTGGACCATCTTGCCAGACTCCTGATGTTTATGTTTTAAACAAACTGTGTACTTTAGCCTTTCTCTGCACATTACTGCTCCCAAGAAGGCTCCCAATGCTAAGATCCTGGTTCTCTGGGGGCTTGTGCCTTTCAAAGGGTACTATAGGAACACCCCTGGCCTGTGCTTCTAAATAATCCCTTCTAGAAACTGAAAGTGAAGGACGTCCAAGGCACAGGCCTTAAGACTTTGAAGATAAGAGGGAGAAGCAAAGCTTGCCTGTCTCCCTGTTTTTTCATCTCAGGGAAGCTACTGCAGATGGTGGCACCCTGACTGGACAGCATCCTCAAAGAAGGATGCAAAGATGGTGTCTGAGAAACTTAGAAATACCAGGACTATTGCTTTAGAGAATCCCAGATCCTTTTCAAGCACACCACAGAGAAGGTGGTATGTGGTCAGAGAGGCAGAGGAGAGGATGAAGAGGACGTGAGGAAGGGGCCAAGATCAGGTAGCCCAGCTGGAGAGCATTGCCTCTAAGGAGCCAGAACAGGCTCCAGTTTTGTAGTCATGACACTGAACTCACTTTATGTATCGGGATGTCCTGCTCTGTGTTTGCCACCTGGAAGGCACGTTGATATCACAATGTACCACCGGCTTGATCTGCAAAACAAACCACAGGGCTCAGTGTTCAGTTCAGATGAGCAAACACTAGTCAGTACCAACAATAAGGACAACACAACCCAAAAACCACAAAGGTTATAGACTACCAAGCACAGGTCCCCGGGGACTCAGAGAGGTAGGTATGTACCAGGGGTCCAACATCATTCCATTAGGTACCAGTAGGTGCCATGTGGGAGTGATGTAGGCTGAAGGTCATATACTGCAAGTGCTGGGGAACTGGAGGGAGACACACAGAATGTCAGGGGAAAGGGTTACAAAGTTGAGGAGGGTACATGGCTCATACTATGGACAGACCCAGTCACGCACCCAATAAATGCATACTATAGCCAAGGTGTCCCCATGGTCTGCTGCACAAATTACAGGATGAGAAGTGGAGAAGGTGGCTTCCATTTTCAGACCACAGAGTGGAGTACAGTAGCCAGGTGGGATATTCCCAAGCCTACAGGGCTCTTTCCTAAGAATGAATATGCAGAGGCAAGTGGAAGACCTTCTCAAGACTTCACCTCAGGATGCTCAAATAGGAAGCAATTTTGAGAGCCCTGGCACAGGAGAACAAAAGCTCTCTTCATCCAGCCCACTGGCCAGGAGTGCACATAGAATCAAAAGGAGACAATGTAGGGAGTCAAGGCTACCCCTGTGCTGGGTAGAAGACCGGTCCAGCACCCTAGGCCAGTGACCCTGTGGACTACTTCATGCTATCACGAGTTGCCAACAGCACTGGTCTCTCTCTGTTCCTCAGTCCACTATGTGAACAACACAGAGCCCTTCCTCACATCTCACGTCTTGTTCCGGTATCCATTCACTAGACTCACCTCGCTTCCCTGCCTCTCTTCCCACCTCACAACTGTTCCGTGGCCTGGTACAAGCCTTCCACTTCCTTCACTTGGCAATAGGGTCAATCCCACCTGAGTCCCACTTCCCTGTCACCTCCACCACTGGCCAGCATCCAGCATGGTAGGTCCCATGTGGGGCTCAAGGCCTCTAACATGGCACCTCCCTGACACCTATCAGCCTCTTCGGACTCTGTCAGTTGGTAACCCTAACCTATCTCATGTCCACATAGGCTGCAGACTTGGCAAAATAAGAGGGCCCGTGGCTCAGCAGGCTCCCCTCTTCTTCATACTACACTCCAAAGTTCAAAGTTATCTCTAAAGTGACACTGGGGAACCATCCCTCATGAACTCCTCATGAAGTACGCTTCCTGTCTCACAGTATATACTGCATGGGGTGCCGTCTCTGTAGGGCTGTCCTGTGTAACTCACACCTCACACCATACTGGATGGTCTTTCCACTCCTTAATCTGCTAAGCCCCCTACTTCTCAGGCTGCTAAGCCCCCCACTTTCCAATCCACATCTAACTAGAGGCACCGAAGAACTTTGGTCTGGCAAACATCTCCCTCCTACACTTCCTATACGGCGGGTCTTGAGACCAGGCTGGGGGCCTTGCCTATACTGAGACCTTTGCTCTACCTGTTCCAAAGCCCTGCTTTGCTCTGCCTGTCCAGCAAGGGGACTCATTGGCCTGCACCACCCTCACACCTCTCCCTCCCAAACTGTCCCCACCTCAGCACTAGACAGCACATAGTCGGCTAAATCAAGGAGCTTGTCTGGACATCTCAAGAGGAATAAAAAATCACCAATAAATTTACTTCAAAGACAGTGACAGACTGGGAAATGAGGGACAGCCCATCACACAACACAGAGGCAAGACACTACTGAGCCTGGCCACTGGGAACCACATTTAGAAGAAGGGAGGGAGTATGGCATCCCAGGCCTGGAAGAGGGGCACAGGCTTTGCCATCTGCTGTACCCATTGGCTACCAGTGGCCAGAACAGAGACATGAACAGGAGGGAGAAGTGGGACAAATCTCGCAGAGTCACAGGGTGAGAGCTGGGTGACCCAGGTCAGATCCCAGCTCTAGCAGGCAGAGGTGAGTTACCTCTCCAAGTAGCAGTTCGCTAATTCTTACAGTGGAGATGACAGATCTTACAGAATTGTTATAATTAAGTCAGTGTTTTATAAAAGGCACTGTGTAGTAACTATCATACTGTAATAAGCACTTCAGATTAATATGAGAGTCCCTAACACGCACAGGGGAGGAGACGTGAGTCCATTTAGACATCTCAGTCTTACTTTGGTCCTAGGAGAATTACTGACCACCCTCACACATGTCCGATCCAGACCTCTTCATAGAAGATGACAACAGCAAGATCCATTTGTGCAACACTGAAGGTGAGGGTCCCTTGACCTCTTCCCATGCCTGGTTCCTCTCAGTTAAACCACCAGCGCCTCTGTCAGCTCCCAGAGCCATATCTGGGGCCCTGGTCCCTTGTCCCTCAACCATTCCTAGCCACTCTGTCCACACCTAGCTCTCCCTAACTCGTCTCTTGCTGCCCCAACCGTGTGTGTGTGTGTGTGTGTGTGTGTGTGTGTCTGTGTCTGTGTCTGTGTCTGTGTGTCTGTGTGTGTCTGTGTGTCTGTGTGTCTGTGTGTCTATGTGTGTTCTGCTCAAGTATGCAGATGTATACTCGCATACATGTGGAAACAGGTGTTCAACCTCAGGACCACCCCTTATGATTGGATTTTTAAAGTAGGGTCTCTTTCTGGGACTTGGAGCTCAGCAACTAATGAATCACAGACTGGCTAGCCAGCAAGCCTCAGAGATCTTCCTGTCTCCGTTAAGGAGGTGGAAAGTGTACAAAAGCCAAAAGTCAAAGAACGTTGCTGGAAAAATAATATCTCCCAGATAAAGATATTCCATTTATAAACTCACGGTAGCTGTGGTTGCCAGCATATAACCTGCACAAGATGTGCTCAGACCAGCATAGAGAAGGGAAGGACTTACGCGGCCCCATCCTGAGCTAGGGAGATATTAGCAGTTTCTAACTGCTGGGAGAGGCAGTGTGGCACATAGCCTGTTGCCCGTGCTCCAGTGGGAGACAATCTATGCCCATGTGGGAGGCACTAATTAGTTTACAACGGCACTACCAGACCCAGATTTTATTGTTTTGCGTTCCTTCTTTTTTAAAAAATAAACTTTTTATTGATTCTTTGTGAGTTTCACATCATGCACCCCAGTCCTGCTCATCTCCCCATCCCCTCATATCAGCCCTTTGACCTTGTAGCCACACCCAAAACATAAAAAACACACAAACAGAAAGCATAGAAGACATCCTATCGTGGAAGGTGTAGCATGTCATAGTATGGCCCACTGTATACCCTTCTGTCCACACAGTTTCACTTCCAAATATTCGTTGCAATGAATCATTGGCCTAGCTCAAGTTCTCTGGCTTTTGTGACACTATAAATACTGGATCCTCATCTAGACTCCTCCCAGTCATCCTGATGTTGCTCTGTGTCATGCAGATCCTACAGCTTTGGATCAAAAGGAACGGACCTTTCGCGTATCCCAACTGTTTACAGATGATATAGGTTTTGAGGTGGGCCATCTCAGAGCGCTAGATCTGAGCCCGGGTAGTAGCTGAGCTGGTCAGCTCACCGGCTCTCCCTCTTGGCACCACCAGGGTGAGCTCTACAGCACTGCTCTTGCTAGGCCACCAATGCCACCATCAGCAGGAGGCAAGGTGAGCCAGCTCTCCTGCTCTCATGCCTCCATAGTCAGCTACACTGTGCTACCCAGTCAAGGTATGGCGGCTCACTCTCCCAAGTGCTTCAGTGCTCCGAGTGCTGCAGCCAATGAAGGCCAAGGCCAGCTCACTGCTCTCATGACCCCAGGACCAGCTCTCCCAACTGCCACAGGAGGTGAGGGGCAAGTGGGAGGAGGCATCACCCTGCACCCACACCACCTAAACAGAGATGAGTGACAAGGCTAGCTCTCCAGCACTTCTCAGGACTGTCCAGACAAGGTTGAGGGCTTGCTCTCCCAAATGCTGTAGCTGGCAGAGGGGTAGAACTAACTCTTCTGAGCTCACAACTTTGTGGGGAGCTTTCCCAATTATGAGAGGTGGTTGGGGTTGGGGGGCATCATCTCTGTACCCACGCCATCCCATGGAAGACAAGTGACTGGCTCGGCTCACCCACACCCCTGCCATTGGGGCCATCTCCACTGTGCTGCCTGGAAGAGGCAGGGGGCGCACTCTCTTAAATGCTGCCAGCAATGAGAAATGGGGCCAGCTCTCCAGAGCTCTGCATCCAGTGAGGGCCAGGGCCAGTTATGCAGGTGGTCCACAGAAGTTGCCCAGACCAGGGACATCCTCGTGTTGTCTAGTGGTAATATAAGCCACAGACATTGATACGAACCCCTGCTACTGTGTAGCCAGATCCAGACATGGCCCTCTCATTGGCCGCTCTCTGGCTATGACCTCATTGTGGCCCTAGGTGGCAGGGCTGCCCACTCACAACAGGCTACACTTCTCTACCCTCAAGTCTCTAGTTTTATCTCTCTTTGTAACACTCAGTCGGCTCCACTTCTCTTTCCCATCTGTCCTCCATGTACTCACATGCTGTGGCAGCTCCTGCTGTAGGCTGACCACACAGCTAACAGGCCCCTGGGTAATCTCTTACATCCATGCTGCATAGTGTGTCAGCAAGCAGGTGTCTATGGCCTGCCTGTGCCATGTACTGGAAGGCAGGTCTGTGGGTGGCATGGCAGTCTGCAGACCTCTGTCTGTCTCCCTCCTCCTGCACTCTGCTGCCTGGATTTGATTTGATTTGATTTGATTTGATTTGATTTTTATAAGTCCTAGGCATAAAACACCATTAACCACCAAGCCAAGCATCAAGCTAGAACAACGATGGACTATCATCTGCTCTGCCCCTAACTAGTATAAGAACATCACTAGCAACAAGGCATTTCTTTGCCCATTGCCAGAGGGATGCTCTTTGTTTGAAATAGAATCTCCCTCTGTAGCTCTGGCTGACTTGGAACTCTCAGATATCCACCTGCCTCTGTCTCCAAGGATTTGAGGTATATGCCATCAGACCCAATGATCCCCTGTTTGTTTGTTTGTTTGTTTGTTTGTTTAACATAGGTGCTAGGGTTAGCCTCAGCCTGGCAAGCACTTTGCTGACAGACCAAGCTCCCCGGATTCAACCCCTTCTTCACAGCAAGCAGAGACAGGGACTCTGTCACTACCCACCTCATTCTTCCCACTCCAGCTGGCCTTCAGGGATTCTGCCCTGTCTCCCTCCACCCTTGTTTGGTTTGGGATTTGGTTTTTAGAATTTTTTATCATTGGATTATTTCTCACACACACACACGTAAAAAAATTTTTTTATTTAATGTGTTTAAATCATAACTACCTCTCATGTGGTCCTCCCAACTCCTCCCAGTTGCCCCAACACTCCTGTCCTAACTTTCTATCTTTAAATAATCTACCAAATCCAATTAGTGCTGGGCAGCAACTGTCAATATCTCCTTAGCTAGGGGAGAAGCCCCTCCCTTCTCAATATTGAAGTGGCGACTGGCTTGATCTTGTGCAAGTCTTGTGCTTCCAACCACAGATGCTGAGAGCTCATGAGTGTAGTGGTCTTGTTATGTCCAGAAGTCATTGCTTTGTGGCCGTGCTCTCTGGTCTCTGGTTCTTAGGAGTTGGGAGTGTGATAGTGATTCCCGTTCTCCTCCTGTGGAGGCTCTGAGCTCTCCACAGACACTTATTGTCTGCACTTTGACCAGAAGTCTCTGTATTAGCAGCCATTGACTTCATAAAGAGGCTTTTCTGGTGATGTGTGAGAGCTGGACTGGCCTGGGTATAGAAAGCTAAGTACTGAGAAAACAGCTTGCAGTGGCTCAGGCTTCATATTGCTTGTGCTTTTTTTATTCCATGGCTTACACCATCCTGTCAAGTATGATCTTTCTTGGGGTAGAAAGTCCTCCAACAGAATGACCCTAGTGCTGACCAGTGAGCAGCCTCCAAGGGGCTGTGGTAACTACCATCAAGTTGAATGGACAGTGGATGAGGGAAAGGGACCAGGACAAGTAGACAGCTCTACCATTGGGCAACTGATTCAGAGTAAGGGGAAGCCAGTGAAGTCTCCAGAAAGCTTGCATGCATCCACTGTTGCTCTGTTGTGTGTTGCATATAAAATGCTGCATCCTCTCATGTTACACTGGGAAAACTCAATGTCATGAATATCAGCAATGGGCATGCATTTACAGACCTGGTCTGAAAATAAATAAAACAACAGAAACTATGCTCTGAGAAATTCTACTGGGTGTAGACACCCTAGCAATGGCTTTCTGCTGGATTGCATACAACAGTGGAAACAATGGGCTAATTGCTTTCTGAGGTGTTGATGACTCATTAGCCCCGATAGCAATGACTAATTAAATAACTGCAGCTACAAAGTACACATTCTGAATTCTTGTTCCCGGTACTCCATGCAATCGTGTCCTAGGAGGAGTGTAACAGATGCGGCCACTGTCTGACAGGGAAGACAGTCTCGCTCACACTCGCCAGATCCCATGAGTCCTACACACCACTCACCTTGCCTGAGGCTGGCAGACCCAATAGGCTATAGGCCTACTGCCCAAGGTAGGAAAACTAAGCCTATCTGAAGTATGGAGGCCTAAAGGTGACCACGAAATATCCCTGTGGTTACCCAGCCCTTTCCCTATGTGGTCCAATCAAATGTTTGATTAGCAACAGTACAGATCATAGCAGCCTCTGTGCCAGCCTGAGAGAAGGGATCAAGTCTTTAGATAGAAGTAGAAAGAGTTCAGGAAAGAAGCAAGCGAGCTGCCACACTAGAGGGAGCATTGACGTGACCAAGCAGTGGTCTATAGCACTTTCCACATCAGCCTGACCTCAGACCTGGAAACTCTCACTGGTCCCTCTTTAACCCAAAATGCTGTCACTAACAAAAACTCAGAGAAACCATCGACAGTCACCAAACCAGCACAGAAGTAGATCCCTGGGTAAGGGGTAATATACCCTGCAGGGAAAGAGGAGGAGTACAAAAGAGGTTCCCCCAAACAGACACCTCCTCATACAACAGGAGCAAGAGGGACGCAAACTAGAACAGACATACTGAAACAGGAAACAGGAAATGGAAAAGCCAGATGGTGGTTCATGGAAAGCTTAAAGAGTTGATAAACCCTGTTCCCAAAGTGGCCTCATTCGGTCTTATTGGTCTCAAACACTTACTTCCTTCAACTTTCTCATCTTTGAAGGTTTTCTGGGAACTATATGAATATAGCTGAAAAAAAAAAAGAAGAAATCATAGTTAGAAAGACAATGTTCATGCTGACCCATGTACCCTCCACCCAGTGGTGCCCATGTCAGCAATGAAGCAGACAACCCCACAAATCAGAAAGGAATCCACATCAGCATGTGACGGCATTGTGACGTGGGACACCTCCAGCTATGTTAACTGACCTCCCCCTGTGGAACTCTCTCCAGTGGTATGACTCTTCCTCATAGGAATGGACTCATTAGAGTAACTTAGAAACAATGATCTAAGGACGGAGAGATGGCTTGGTGGTTAAGAGTACTGACTGCCCATCCAGAGGAGCCAGGTTCAGTTCTCAGCACCCACATGGTGGCTCGCAACCGTCTGTAGCTCCAGTTCCACCAGATCCAAGAGGCCTGTTCTGGTCTTTGCAGGCACCTGGCACACACATGGTATACAGATAAACTGCAGGCAAAACACACATATACATTTTTAAGAGTAAATAAATCCTTTTTTAATAGTTTAAGGAAAAATCATTACCTAATTCATCAGACTTCTCACTTTCTGGTGAAGGGAGTAATGCTCGGTCAGTCAGGTGGGTGGTTAGCTGGTTGGTTGGTATGGTTTTAGGTTATTTTGAGATAGTCGGACTCAGTAATTCAGGCTGTGATAGAACTTGTCACAGTCACACCACTGGTCCCCAAGGACTGGGATTACTAGCACACAAGCACGGTAGTCGTCTCTACTCATCAAGGCGCAAACTCAGAGCAAGTAACAAGACTGCTGCAGAGTGGACATCCTCACGTACCACCCTCTCTTGCGTGTAGCCCTGAAGCTGGAGACCTGTCTCTGGTCCTAACAAGTGACTGTTTAAGGTAACCATTTCAAACAGGTCACTCAACAGGATCCTGGGCTCATTAATGTTCCTACTTGTCTTAGTTACGGTTACCATTGCTGGGATGAAACACCATGACAAAAATGAAGTTGAGGAAAAAAGAACTTATTCCACTCACAGTTCCATATACCAGTTCATCATCAAAAGCACTGTGGGCAGGAACTCAAGCAGGACAGGAACCTGGAGGCAGGTGCTGATGCAGAGGCCATAGAGGGATGCTGCTTACTGGCTTGCTCAGCCTGCTTTCTTATAGAACCCAGGACCAACAGTCCAGGGATGGCTCTACCCACAATGGGCTGGACCCTCCACCATCAGTCACTAAAAAAAGGCCCTACAGGTTTGCCTGCAGCCTGATTTCACAGAGGAGGCATTTTCTCAATTGGGGCTCCCTCCTCTCTGATGATTCTAGTTTGTGTCAAGTTGACATAAAGCTAGCCAGCACGTTTGAACCTTTGTCAACTTGACATCCCTTTTTAATTAGAACCTCTTTCTCATTTATCCCTGTTAATATTAATATCACAATATAAAACACAAAGAACTTCAAAAGTCTTTACAACTTCAATCACATTAAAAGTACAGTCTCTTTAGAACAGTCAATGTCTTTTTTAAAAAATCCAAAATATGTTTTAAAAATTCAAACTGTGGGCTCCTGTGAAAATCAAAATTAAGTTCAATACTTTCTCATTTCAAGAGGGAAGAACCAGGGCACAGTCACAAGCAGATCAAAGCAAAATCAAACTTCAACAGTGTAAATCACTCAATGACCAATGTCTGGGAGTCACTCTTGGTCTTATGACTCCTCCAAAGGGCCTGGGTCACATCTCAGGGTCTGTCCTCTCTAACACCCATACCTTGTCTTTTAGGCTTACGCAGGTTCCAGTCCCACCACAGCTGCTGATGTTCTTGGCAATCGTCTGATGATAGTAGTATTTCCAAAACTGCTGGGGTCTGAGTAGCATCAATCATCCCAATAAAGCAAAGACTTTGCTTCAGTGCTTCTAGTCTAACCAAAACCACCAACTCTCAATTCAAAATAGCAAGCGGTCCTGATAGAGTCCTTAAGTGACTCTCAGACATCCCTCTGGAACGTCACAGGGCAGGCCTCCATCATCTGCATTGCTCTCAACATCATCTTCAAGCTCCCACAGAACAGTTCATCAAGTTTTGTACACTCCATGTTTTTTCTTGTCCCAAGTTCCAAAATCCTCCCCAATCCTTCCAAAAACACATGGCGTGGTCTGTCACAGCAATATCTCATCCTGCTACCAATCTATCTTAGTTAGGATTATTGTTACTGTGATGAAACCCCACTGCAGGCCAGCACAGAGCAGAAGCCAGACTCTGAAATGAGAACCCTACACTCATTCACAGGGCTTCAGAAATGTTCTTTTTCCCAGAACTTTTGACCCTCAGGACTTTCAAAGTGCCTTCTATGTTCCACAGAATAAAACACATTTTAAAATGGTAATCTGGAGTAGCTGAAGATTCATATCTTAAGGCTTCTTCTTTGTTTTAAAAAATAAAACATACTATGAATTTTTTTTATTGTTGCCAACCGTTATAGTTTTAACCACATGCAGAGAGGGATTAACTTAAATTCAGAAGAAATGAAATATGCATTCCTCACAGAGTCAAGTCACAAAGCCTGACCCCCACAGGCAAGGCAGAGAAAAGATGGATCGCCACAAGGAAGCAACTGGGGAACCACAGATATGGTCACCAACAGGTTGACACATCCTTGTCTAGGGCAGACAGGACCTTAGTCCTACTGGTGACTGTTTGAATTTATGTTTATTGTGTGTGTATATATATGAGTGCCTGCATGCATGTATGTTTGTGTATCATATGCATGCCCCATGCCCTCAGAGGCCAGAATTAGAGTTATAGGTAGTTGTGAACCACCATGTAAGTTCTGAGAAATGAACCAGGGTCCTCTGCAAGAACAAGAGGAACTATTCTTAGCCTCTGAACCAGCTCTCCAATTTTTTTTTTTTTTTTTTGGTTTTTCGAGACAGGGTTTCTCTGTGTAGCCCTGGCTGTCCTGGAACTCACCCTGTAGACCAGGCTAGCCTCGAACTCAGAAATCCGCCTGCCTCTGCCTCCCAACTGCTGGGATTAAAGGTGAGCACCACCACCGCCCAGCCAATTTTTTTTTAAGCAAACAAGAAGCTGGGTGTGGTGGTCTACACCTTTAATCCCAGGATTCAGGAGGCTGAGACAGGCAGATCTCTATGAGTTCAAGGCCAGCCTGGTCTACAAAGCAAGTTCCAGAACAGCTGGCTGTTACACAGAGAAACTCAGACTCAAAAAACAAAAAACAAAAAAAAAAAAACCTAATTAATTAATTTCACTTAAATAATTTAAACTTTAATTAATTAAATTTAATTTTCATTGAATTAAATAGTTTGATTAATTTTAAAAAGAAAGAAAAGGTAAAGGTCATGCTCCCCTCTTTGAAACTTGTGTGGACCAGGCAAAGCTCCACCTATGGCTGCCCATCCTAGGATTCTGGCCCTCATCTCACAGGCCTGTCCGTCAACCTTCCTTAGAGTCTCATTCACTCTATTTTTCCAAGCTAAGGGCTGGGTGGTCACTTCCTTGGTGTTTCCAGAGGGAGAGGAAGGTGTAAAGTAATCCTGGGTACAGGTACTTCGAAGGAAGACCTTTACTTAGCCCCTCTGTGGTGCTGAGATGGACTTCCACCGGCCTTCTTTACATAGGAGAGCGTGAACTCTGAGCACAGACCTTCTTTGCCCAAAGTTCCTCAGGAGGGGATGCCTGGATTCAGTCCCACTCAGAGGAGGTCCCTGCTCTCTCACCCGACCTCAACTGCATCTCTCCCATCTCTTGCCTTGGCCTGTCACACGCTCTCCTCACCCCAGCCTTCGAGTGAATGGCAAGACTGGAGAGAAGGATGGAGGCTGTGAAAGCCCCCTGAAGATTTGGCTTAAACAGCACATTCACAACTGTGTCTCTCAGCAAGCTGCTCTGTGAAGAAAGACCTTTCATCCATGTGGGAGAAACCCCAGGACTGCTAGCGTCACTTACAACTGTTTGCTAGTGACACAATTAGAATCTTATTATCATCTGGTGAATACTAATTTTAACTGCTCAGTGGCTCAGCAGTTACAGGCGCCAGTGGAGAAGCCTTGCCTAGTTTTATTCAGCAGACAGGAGCCCAATTTCACATGTCATTAACTGAGAGGTGAAGAAAACGAAGCCTAAATGCTTCTCTGTGTTGAACTCACCTGCAAATCCCATGCATCTATTTCATAGCAACAAAAGTGCCTGGATTATGCAAACGAATCTGTACCCGCCCCTCCCTCCCCACTTGCCGCTCTCTTGGATTCTCTGAACCTCACGTTCTGTGTGTGGCCTAGAGACAATGGCTCCTGCTGCCAGATGCCCTGGATGAGACCCCAAGTGGGGTTTGCTGGCTCCTGAGAGTAGGGTGAGGTCCTGGGTGAGGTGTGCGTGTGCAGAGGGCTAAGTGGGAGGTGCTGCTGCATTGGCCTGGGTAGGAAGAGATCTGAGGCTGCACTTACTCCAGCTTCTTGAAGCGCTCCCGGCCCGCAGCCACGTACTTGCCACCGGTCTGCAGCGTGTCCAGTCCGAGCACCTGGTGGCCCTGCGTTGGCGTGTAGAGTCGCCGCACACCGAAGGGTACCTCCACCTGCTCGGTCAGCTGCTCCAGCAGAGCCTCGAAGTTGGCTACGCGACGCCGGGAGAATACGAACTTGCGGCCCACATAAAACTGGTCCCCATTGCGGTACACCAAGATGGTCTTGGCCGGCGTGGTGTCCACCAGCGCATAGGGCCCGCGTGTGCCCATGGCCACTGCTCGCTCGCCTCGGGACACGCAGAACTGTGCAAGGAGGCACCCAGCACTCCCACGGGCTCCCTCGGGCGGCGGGCCACAGGCGGGACTGGGCTGCCTGGCTAATGGGTCCTGAGCCTTGCAGCACACGCTGACGTCCAGGGGTGATTGTGACTGGGCGGGCAGGAGAGGGGCGACAGAGCCAGGGAGGACAGGGGTGACTGACCAGAAACATGAAGGATGCAGAGAGGATTCAGAGTGCAGACAAGGGAGAACAGAGAAACAGGATGGGAGCAGCAGGAAACCCAGAGAGTTGAGCGGCCTGAAACGGAGAACCCCGTACAAGTGATCTGGGAGGGGTGTGAAACAGAACCAGGGCTGGGAGGGTGCAGAAAGAGCTCAGACAGGTGAATAGCCACAAAGAGAAAAGGGAAAGCCCAGTGAGGTGGCACTTGCCACTAATTCCAGAATTGGGGAGGCAGAGGCAGGAAGATCTCTGGGAGTTTGGGGCCAGAATGGTCTATAGAGATAGTTCCAGGACAGGCAGTAACGTTGTAAGATGCTGGAGGGAGTGGGAGTAACCAGAGCAAGAGAGCAAGAAGCAGGGTTGGGGAGACAGCAAGCACCGGAGAGGTGAAGTGATAAGAGCTCAGGGAAGAGGAGAAAGGGACAAGGAGGTGCTGGGCCAAGAGTCCCCATCCTGACCTCCCAGCATGCTACTGCCTTCCACTATAGAGAAAGGGAGCAGAGCCATCTGACCTCTAATACTGGGGGTTGCTGGACGCATAGCACCTTCTGAGCCTCGACGTCTTACCTTCACCCTACATTTGGATATGACTTTGGCTCAGCACCATTGAGTTATGTAAGGGACTGTCTGCTATGGCCACTAGTACCCAGCATTCCAAATGTGACATCTCAAGGAGGAGACCTTTGGTGAAGTCATTCCTCATTCAGGATAAAGACAAGCCAATTGTTTCTTGAATGAATAATTCTAGAAATACTTTCCCTAAAGTTTTAATATGCTTAAACAAGATCTCAGTACCATAGGTTAAGCATTTATTATCTGTTTACTCTACAAACCAATGGTGCAGAAAACTGATACTATGTTTGTAGTGTTTTTCCAAAAAGTTCTTCTTCCGGAGGCTATCCCACCATTTATAGCTACGGCCAATTTTTAGGATACCAACCAGGTGGCAACAGGAGACCAAGACCAGTTTGTGGGGTGATCATTTTATTGGAACCACCAGGTGTTCAAAACACTGAAGGCAGTGGGTGTGTACTACAATGAATGAGCTCTTTAGAGATTTGCCCTGAAGCCCGCTTTAAGAGAGAACCTCAGCATGGGCTTCTCCCGGAGGGGCCGCAGCAAACAGATGGAACTAGGGAAGCCCTTGAGCCGAAGGCGGCTCACACCGCCATCAGGCGCAATGGTAATCCTGGCATGAGTGATGACATCCTGAAGCTCCAGGGTCAGGCTGTCCAACAAGTGATTTTGGTCGGGAGTTAGCTGGGGAAAAAGAGGCAGATGCAAGGTCCTTGTGGAAGGGTTTCGTGGGACTCCCCTGGTGCAGTAACTCAGGCTTGGTCTTAGGGGACTTTAAGAAATGCTTCCCAGTAACAATCTGGCCTGACAGAAATCGACTAGTGAGGACAGGGCACCCACATGAGATTGACATGTATGTTCAAGTGTATTTCTTAGCAAGCAGACGAATTAATCAGGTGGAAGAGGAGGTAAGCTGCCATCTTCATGGTTACATAGAACTTCACCACACCATGGTGACCACTTTGCTGGTCCAAGACACTCTAACACATATGAGGGTATCTGTCCTATATATGGACATAGCATGACAACTGGCACCCTTCTAATAAGTTAAACATACTATAGAAACGTGTGTCTGTGTATGTATCCTTAGCACATTCTTAACATGATGGGTTTTTTGTTTTAGCAAAGCTTGAATGTAAGGCATGCAAAAGTCACAGAGTCCACCATCTTCTGTGGAAAACACAGCTGTGGCTTTTTACAGTATATTAATTTTACTGTTAAACTGACCAAAGGCTTATGGGAAAGTGAATCTGAAGAGCTATAATCCCAGCTCCTTGGGAGGCAGAGGCAGGAGGATTACAAGTTTAAGGCTGGCCTGTGACATTCATCAAAACCCTGTCTCTAAAAGTAAAAAAGAGCTAGGAGTGCAGCTTAGTGGTAAGGAGATGGTATGTGGAGGTGCAGCTCAGTAGTAGAGAGATGTGCAGGGGTGCAGCTCAGTGGTGGGGAGATGAGCAGGGGTGCAGCTCAGTAGTAGAGAGATGTGCAGGGGTGCAGCTCAGTGGTGGGGAGATGTGCAGGGGTGCAGCTCAGTGGTGGGAAGATGTGCAGGGGTGCAGCTCAGTAGTAGAGAGATGTGCAGGGGTGCAGCTCAGTGCTGGGGAGATGTGCAGGGGTGCAGCTCAGTGGTAGGGAGATGTGCAGGGGTGCAGCTCAGTGGTGGGGAGATGTGCAGGGG